CTGACTAGTACGAGTAACTTTACAGTTTTAGTCCATTGCTTTAACACACTTTGCAAAACTTGGCTCATGGTGCCAAAACTCCACACACAAGGAAGTACGGAAGAACACTGGGAAATAAACCATTCACATCTATGCCAGATACAAAGTCTGCCATCAAAACTGAACAATCCTTTGTCAAAACCTCACTTTGATGACTAAATGATGCCCACTTCCACATGTCAATACACTCTCATATCAGCAGCAACACACTAGTCTACTTTAAATAAAACACTGCACTCTTTCACTTGTACTGTATTTATTCAGTTACAATTCCAGATGTTTCTCATAATTCCAAAAATAAAATACTGAAATCAACATTACTGCAATTACATTACAGTAGTGAAATTCATATGACAGGAAATTCAGTTACTGTAAAGCAAAAATAAAACAAACTGAACTTCACACAGAAGTTACATGTATGGATCCTGCCGTCTGTCGGGGTCGGGCCACAGGACCTCGTCCACATCGCAAGCAATATCTCCTCCGGCTAAACATCGGGGGAAAAAATCCCCTTGTGTGTCTAATCCATCCCTGAATTGACCTGATTTCAATATCTCCGCAGGCCTGTTCCATTGCTTGTGAAAGTGGCATTCGGGCGTGGGGTTGGCAGTCATGTACGCGCCATCTCCATGCTGAAAAGAACTCCTCTATAGGATTCAAAAATGGGGAGTAAGGGGGCAAGTACACCACTTCAAATCCTTCATGATGAGTAAACCAGTCTTGGACCAGAGCAGCCCGGTGGAAACTAACATTATCCCACACAACAACAAACCTGGGCTGCTCTGGTCTCTTCTGTATGACAATGTCATGTAGACCATCAAGAAATGTGAGTATTTCCTGTGAATTGTAAGGCCCCAATTTGGCATGATAGTGCAGTAGCCCTTTAAGGCTAATAGCAGCACACAATGTAATATTTCCTCCACGTTGCCCAGGGACGTGCACAATTGCCCTTCGGCCAATAAGATTACGCCCCCGTCGTCTGTTTTTTGTCAGATTGAATCCAGCCTCATCAATGTAAATACACTCATGAGGCTGAGCAGCTCCATCCATGGCGAGCATTATCTGCAAGAAAAAGTACATATTACTGTACTGTACAGTACTGTATGGATGGCATTACTCAAAGTACACAACTACACTGATACAGAATTGAACCACCTCATCACACAGGGGCCGGTTTAGCTTTCTGAATATACATTGTCAATGTGGTACTGATCCAATGATACAGACTCAGCTATTTGACTGCTCCTCTTTTGTATTGTAAATGTAGAGGACTGAAACACTTACCTGTACGTATTCACGTCGAACTTCCTTCACTCTGGCATTGTTCCTTTGAAATGGAACCCTGTACAGTTGTTTCATTGTAATGTGGTGCTTTGTCAAGATGCGTCTAATGGTGGTAATGCATACTGTATTTATATTGCCAAAACTCTGTCTATCTGCAATTATGTGACTCTGTAGCTGGTGGAGACGGATCGTATTATTTGCCCTGACCATGTCCACTAATGCAAGTTCTTGTTGTTCAGTAAATAGGCGTTGACGTCCACCGCCAGTAGGTCTTCTGATCATTCTGTAGAAAACAATGCAACCAGTATTTGGAATCGTTTTGTTCTATTTTTCAGTACTATACAAACTGTATTTTACTGTATTTACTGTACTTGTATCACAGTACTGTAAAACATCTCAAGACATGATTATATGTGTCACAACACAAGGAGCCACCCTTCAGTACAGTACTGGTGTAACAGTACATGTACGTTACATATACATGTAAGATGAGACAGTACTGTAAATACTCAAGCTACATTAATGTAGTACAGGAATTGAAGGCATACCTGTTTTCCTGTCTGAATGTCCTTATGATGGATGCGACCGTGAAACGGCAAAGATTGGGGTGGACTCTCTGTCCAGCTTCCCTCATGGTCAGATCATGGTTTATGACATGGTCCACCACAGTTGCCCTAATGCCATCAGAAATTATGGTCCTTGCACGGCCTCTTCATCCACGTCCTCCTCTTGCTCTGCCTCTAGCTCCCCCCCCCCCCCCCCCCCTCCATGCTGGCAAGTTCTCCAAAATGGCTTAGCTAAGGCCTTTTTGTAGCTGACTGATTGGTGTTCAGTTTTGTTAGTAATTGTTTTCAGGTGTGTGTCTAATTGTTTTCAATGACAGACTGTGTTTTGTATTTTGAATAGCTGCGTTTTCCCAATGGTACTGCAACATTTACTTTTTGAACAAAGTGTCTAATGTATGAAATAGTGTGTTGTGAGCAGGAGCAAGTGTGTTGTAGAAAGGAGCTAGTGTTTTGCAGAATTGCAACCAAAGTGCAAAGCAGCACTTTTGTCTAAGGTATGATTACACTGTGTTTAAGGCAGAGCCACAACAACTTCAAGTTGGGTTCCTTTGGTTTTAGCATCTGTCAATCGTGTTTAAGCAAATGGCTAAAACTGTAATTTGTTTACTGACCAGTACGGGTAAATTTATTTTGATTACTGACTAGAACGAGTAACTTTAATTTGTTTATTGACCAGTACAAGTAACTTTAATTTGAATACTGACTAGGTCAAGTAACTGTAATTTGATTACTGACCAGTATGAGTAACTTTAATTTGATCACTGATTAGAACAAGTAACTTTTATTTGATTACTGACCAGTACAAGTAACTTTAATTTGATTACTGATTAGAACAAGTAACTTTAACCCTCTGGGGTCCATGGATGCATATCCGCGTCTTTTGAACAGGTCTGATTTGGGACGCTGTAGCAGCAAGACTCCGTCTCCCTGAGTTTCGGTTTCAATTCAGCTTTAAAAAGGAGATTATAAACTACACCCCAGTTTTTACATTTTGTAAATAGGCTACGCAAAAGCGAAGTTATACTAAACTAAAAAACAACCTATTTTTAGACAATCTGATAACTTGTCAAAACAGCAGTTTAGTAATCCGTGAGAGAGAATGTGCTTGTGAACTTGAAAAAACCCACAACAACATGAGATCCTTTTGCTGTTGGTGGAAGTCTCACATATTCAATTGATAAAAACTATCATTATGTAGCTGAGAGAGAGAGGAAGGCCGCACGAGTAACGATATGTGCGCAAAAAGGAGCCGCTTCACGGGGAAAGGAGTGGCGCTAACGGAGTAACAACAAACAATTAGACAGATATTGACCGTAAACTTCATATTTTGGAGCGATCCGGACAGATATATTGTCTCTGCAGTTTAGTAGGCTTTTATTAGGCTTATATAAAGGATGAGAAGGATAAATGTCCACCAGGCAGTTCAGATAGTTCAGCTGTTTTTTGAACTGGAAGCAGAGGAAGTGGACGGAGACTCACAGCCGGAGTCTGAGGCAAATAGCGAGAATGTTGATGACGATGTGGCAGATCCATCCTTCCTCATAGAAGAGTGGGGTCATGATGTGTCGCGCAGCTGTCAGATCTCGATCCCCGCAGCGTGAGACAGAGCCATTCCCCACTCCAAAATGCATGTACATTATCGCCAAATTAATAAAATAAGTATAAATTCTGATAGTCCAGGTTGTCCTGAAAAAAATGATACCCCATAAGGCAATACAGTAAACAAGTAAAAATTACTTGTATAAAGGGGTAGGGATATATAAGTTTCCACTTCAGCCTACCCCTTTCAAACACAGAAGAAGGGATGATATGTATTTTTTCTGTTTGTGGTATTTTTTTAAAAATTATGTATGTTTTCTTTGTTTGAAATAAACTAAACTAATATACTAATATTCATTGTTTTTATTAGAAAATACAAAAGAAAAACCAAAATGAGTCAAACACGGTGATTTACGCCCTGGACCCCAGAGGGCTAATAATTTTTTTAAAATTTGGTATTTGCCAGATTTATTCAGATTTTTTATAAATGTACAGTCTAGATTACCATTCTAAATTATAAAAAACATTAGTCATAAATGTTTGTTAATTTCACAGTAAAATAAACAACTTTTTTCCAATTTGGATTTTATGTTTTTGAGTGATTTACGGTCTTATATGCAACCCCTTTATGTCCAAATATAAAAAAATAAGTATAAAGTCATAAAGGCCAGGTTGTGCTGAAAAGATTGATACCACATAAGACAGTGGTTATGGTTTTTATTTTGGAAATACAAAGGACAACTCTAAATTTGTCAAAAACGGCAAATTACACCCTGGACCTAGCTCCCCTGTACCTCTAAGACCTTGTTCATCCTTCAGCCTCCACCCGTTCCCTCAGGTCCTCCTCCTCCATCCACCGCTCTGTCCCACCTTTCTGTCTGGTCACTATGGGGAGCAGGGCCTTCAGTCGCTCTGCTCCCCAGCTCTGGAACTCACTCTCTCATGACCTCTGTAACATTGACTCCCTCACTCTCTTTAAAACCAGACTCAAAACCCACCTGTTCCATCTAGCATTCCAATAGTTACTCTCATTGCTCAATATGTCTGATTATTTTATGCTGTTCCATCTTTTATTGTTGTGTATTTTATCTCTGTCTGTAAAGTGTCCTTGAGTGTTTAGAAAGGCACTGTTCAAATAACATGTATTATTATTATTATTACAAATAACTTTAATATGATTACTGACCAGTACAAGTAACTTTAATTTGAATACTGTCTAGGACAAGTAACTGTAATTTGATTACTGTCTAGGAAAAGTAACTTTAATTTGATTACTGTCTAAGACAAGTAACTTTATTTAGATTACTGATATGGAACTAGTAATGCGTTAGATTAGTCGTTACTGGAAAAAGTGGCAATTTTAGAGTAACACGTTACTAAGCAAGGCAGTAATGCCTTACGGGCATCACTGTTAAGACTCCGGAAGGTACTATGTAAATACAGTCCATTTACTTTTTGACCTCCAACCTTTACTACATTTGTAATGAGCATATTTACAACACCACCACAATGAATCTCTAAATGCAGAATACACTAGTATATAGAGCTAAAATGCATGTATTATTCTCCCAGTTCCTGACACCCCAGTGGAAGTACTTGTGGACTTGTTAACAAAAGCCAAAAAAATAGCAGCAGGATGTGGTGCTGTTCCGGAGGAGCTGAAAAGTCACTTGCAGAAGGCTCTGGATATTTCCAGCGGACTGGATGACTATTTGGAGAACATGACCACACCAGAGAGTGAACCTCTGGCTGAGCTTTATAAGTATAATGTTACTTTCCTATAGCAAATGTTTCTTGCTAAGCATATTTATTGTAAATACTTTAAGGTAAAATATACATGTGCCTGTTATGCCAGAAAGACTATTTCTCATGACTGGGATCAAGTGTTTAAGGAGGGCAAGACTACGTTTCGGCTTCCCAAGGAGTGCATCACTGGCCATGTGGAGGGTAGGATATTTATCCTTGTGATGATTACTACCATTACAGTTAAAGATGCATTGTGATAATGTATTCTTGGATGTGTTTTTGCAGGACAGACTCTCAAGATGCTGATCCATATGAGTCAAGCCAGGAAGGTCCTGGAGATAGGAATGTTCACCGGTTATGGAGCCCTGTCCATGGCCGAGGGACTCCCTGAGGATGGGTGTTTAGTGGCCTGTGAGTTAGAGCCATATCTAAAGGAGTTTGCTCAGCCCATTTTTGATAAGTCTCCACATGGTAAAAAGATAACTGTCAAGACGGGACCTGCCATGGACACCCTAAAGGTGAGGGACAGTTACAGTTAGACCTATCTTCTTGTACATCATTAACCTCCTGGATCATGTCACAAGTTTTCCCTTAAATATTTTTAAATTTAAAAATATTATGAAAACATTATTAGGAATTTACACCATTGAACTTTGAAATGTTTTCCATAAAGACCTTTTACGGTTTCTCATCAACTGCAAGGTTTTGTAAAAAGAGTGTTGTCTTCATTCTAGTCTGTAAGGTTCTTTTGATTCTTTCCTGGTTGACAGTGTGCAGTCTGTGTATACTTACCATACATGTCATACCTGTCTTTAAAAAGGTAAGGCCAAGATGTCATTAGGTCATGTATGGAGAACACAAAACATATATGAACAAACTCGGGCCTTATTCAGTGGTGTTCTGGAACTTTTATTTATATTTTTTTGATAATCTTCGAATTAAACGTGTACTTGGCAGCAATGCAAGCAAGTCATGTGCTCGATCAGGCTCGAGCACGTGGTCAGAATTAAGTGAAAAATGTTGGATTTAACCTTAATAAATTAATCCTGAGATAGATTTTCAAATGGAATAACAATGGTTTACATTTTTTATTTCATGCATATTCATGATATTAACATGTTACTTAATCGATACACTTCATAAACAAGTGAAAGTGAAGCCTTAAGGACAACTTGGGTGTGTTAATTATTATTATTTTAATGCTTTCCTGAAAAGTATCGGATCGGGACTCGGTAAGGCAGACACTCCAAATCAAATGACTTGGAATCGGATCGGGAGCAAAAACTACTTCCCTAGCAAGCAGCGGAAATGCCACCTGGATGGATACTCGGCCTCCTAGTTTAAAAAATAAAAAGTTTGTAAAAACTAATAAGTAAATTCTGTCACATGAAAAATGAAACTATTAAAGTGACAATGTGTAGTTTTTTACCATTAATCTCTGGAGATATCCATTGAAATGTTGTAAATGAATTAAAAGATACCCAGCTGAAAAATAGTGGTGGTTTTCATAACATATAACCATAAAAATTGGGTTTAAAATTCATGGGAGCGGGTGTAAGTCTCTGGGCGACGCTTCTTCGGAAGCCTGTGAGGACAGAATGCATTTACTGATTTGTAACAAATAGTTACAAAACTTTCAGCATTAATAAATGTTGTTCTTCACTCATTGCAAGGGATAAAAGGGAATCTGATGCTCTTGTTATTTTGATGGAGGTTGCACTCCAAGGATTTTTGACCCTAATGACCATCTGTTGGTAAGGTTTTACTTGAACACAAAAATAATGCTTACTTGCAATGATTTAGGTATTTACTGCCCCCTATTGCCAGGGAAAATACACTCCGTCACTTAAAAGTTTAAATGAACTGTTAATATTAACCTACTAATAAAGGTTTTTGTTATTAAAAATGTCAGTCAGTGGATTAACAATCTTATGTGTTTTTCCCTTTAGTTTCTTTAGACTTTTTCATAATGCTTGTATCCACAGCGACATTTAGAGCTTTCCAGGAAGTTTGTTTCTACTACTTTGGGCTTTTTTTGTGTAGAATTATCAGTGTTTAGTCTGATTCTGCTCTCTGGAATGTCACCTATCATTTTATGGCCTTCTTCTGCACAAATCCTAGATGCTTTGATAACTGGAACGTATAAATCGTACAGGGTATGGCCAGTTTAATGGAAATGAAAAGTTTTGAATATTACAGTAATCTTCATATTCCCACATAAACAAGTGGGCAAGCTCAATGATTAGGAGGTAGGTTGCCCACTCCGGTTATTTTACTTTTATTTTCAACTGTTATCAATTAAATCTTCTTTTTTATTAACAAAATAGAAACTAAAATCAGGCTAGACCTAAATGCTGCAGTTGCTGTAAGAAGGCTGGCTGCACACCTGCACAGAACAGATTGCCACTTTAGTCTCATATGGTACCGAGACAGTACCGCATTTTCCGGACTATAAGCCGCTACCTTTTTCCCACGCTTTGAACCATGCGGCTTATAATGAAGTGCGGCTTTACTGAAGATTTTCCTTCACCTGCCAGGGGGCGCTTTAGCAGAAAGTGAAACAGGTGGAAGTCAAAATTGGAAATCGGAGAAAGTGCTCATTTTAATTTAGCACATGCAAGCAGCCGGCACGACGAAGAATCTTTTTCAAATCCATACCCCCTCATCCAACTCCAGTCCCCCTAAATATTAATATCAGGTCTGAGTAGAACAGAATGAAATATTAATGCAAAAAGACAGCGTACTCTTCAGGACACATGGGGCATCTTGGGGTTAAAGACACAAGCCTTCAGTAAAGTTTTCAAAGAATCCAAAAAAAAAGACTTTACTTGATAAAGTCCAGCTTTTAGGGATCTCTAGTCCAGTTCCATAAATTCACATGAAGCTCTGATGTTAGTTTAGTCGTTTTTTGTTGAGGTTTATTAACCCAAACCTGCTCTGGAAGGGTTGCGTGACCTGGTGCAGAATGTCTGTCAGCCCTATATTTACCTCTTTACATTTGCACCCGCAGTTTGCACTATCAGCTGCTTTAGGTGATCGCATTGGCCAAAGACTGCTGCCGACATTTTAGGTGACACATCCCAATTTGTAACTATGTCATGTGCCTTTCCAGGAGTTGGCTTCTGCAGGCGAGCAATTCGACATTGTCTTCATCGATGCTGACAAGCCCAATTACATCAACTACTACAACTTTATCATAGACAACAACTTGTTGAGATTGCGGGGTGTTATCTGTGTAGATAACTGTCTGTTCAAAGCTAAGGTTTATCTTAAAGACACCACTGATAGCAACGGGCTGGCGCTTCGAGAGTTCAACGAGTTTATCTCTAATGATCCGCGAGTGGAGCAGGTAGGTTATTCACCTTTCCACACCACAACCAGTGGTTTGATTATTTTGTCAAATTCATCCTACCTGTTGTGTTTGAAAGGTCATCGTCCCTCTCAGAGATGGCATCAGTCTCATTCGGCGTGTTTCTGTGACCTCCCAGAACTCCTTTTCACAGGTACCACTCATCACAGCTTTTCTGTTAGTGACATGGTCATCTTCACTGTTGATTGTTTCTCCATAGTGTAACACAACGGATGACGAAGTTTTCCGAGGAGTCAAAGGCCGTTCCATTCTGGACCGAATGCATCTAGATGGAAAGGTGGCGTATGTAACAGGTGGCGGGCAGGGCATTGGCCGAGCTTTCGCTCACGCCCTGGGTGAGGCCGGTGCCAAGGTGGCTGTGGTCGACATGGATCAAGGAAAGGCTGAGACTGTTGCTAAGGAGCTCCATCTAAAAGGTGATCCTCATTGTTTCCTTGAGCTGCATCCCAAAATGTCTTCAAAAATTTTGTTTAGCTGCAAAATCTAAAGATTCAGTCTCACAGTCGATCCATGATGTGTGTTGTATTGTTAATTTGGGTGAGACACATGCATCTAACCCTCTTCACATGCTCTCACACCACGGTTCGCTGTGATACTTAAACTCCTCCACTTGGGGCAGGACCTAGTCCCTGAACCGGAGAAGGCATTCTACCCTTTTTCTGACTCAGGACAATGGTCTCAAACGTAGAAGAGCTGATTCTCATCCCAGGTGCTTCACACTCGGCTGCGAACCGTCGTCGTCGTCGTCGTCGTCTTCCTCCGCTTATCCGGGTCCGGGTCGCGGGGGCAGCATCCCAACTAGGGAGCTCCAGGCCGTCCTCTCCCCGGCCTTGTCCACCAGCTCCTCCGGCAGGACCCCAAGGCGTTCCCGGACCAGATTGGAGATGTAACCTCTCCAACGTGTCCTGGGTCGACCCGGGGTCCTTCTGCCGGCAGGACATGCCCGAAACACCTCCCCGGGGAGGCGTCCAGGAGGCATCCTTACCAGATGCCCAAACCACCTCAACTGGCTCCTTTCGATCCGGAGGAGCAGCGGTTCTACTCCGAGTCCCTCCCGAATGTCCGAGCTCCTCACCCTATCTCTAAGGCTGAGCCCGGCCACCCTACGGAGGAAACTCATTTCGGCCGCTTGTATCCGCGATCTCATTCTTTCGGTCATTACCCAAAGCTCATGACCATAGGTGAGGATTGGGACGTAGATCGACCGGTAAATCGAGAGCCTGGCTTTCTGGCTCAGCTCCCTCTTCCCCACGACAGATCGGCTCAGCGTCCGCATCACTGCAGACGCCGAACCAATCCGCCTGTCGATCTCCCGATCCCTCCTACCCTCACTCGTGAACAAGACCCCGAGATACTTAAACTCCTCCACTTGAGGTAGGACCTCTCTCCCGACCCGGAGGTGGCAAGCCACCCTTTTCCGGCTGCGAACCACTCCAGTGAAATCTGGAGATCACGTTCTGATGAAGCCAACAGGACCACATCATCTGCAAAAGGCGGAGACCTGATCCTCAGGCCACCAGAACGAATCCCCTCAACACCTTGGCTGCGCCTACTGTAGAAATCCTGTCCATTAAAGTTATGAACAGAATCAATGACAAAGGGCAGCCTTAGTGGAGTCCAATTCTCACTGGAAACAAGCCCAACTTACCTTGTCACCTTGTAGCGCACATGGGACAGGGGCACATTCATGTTGATCGACACAACTCTGCTGGTCAACATCCTAGGCTCGCGTAAATTATTTGTCCTGCTGTAGAGTCCAGGGAAGGGATTTAGGGGAAATATGTATAAATTATGAAAGATTGCATCCTTCATATCATAGAAGAGGGTCAGATAGGTAAATTTGAGCATTTTGCATTAAAAATCCTAAGCTACGTATCCCAGATTTAAGTGAAAAACTTGTCTAGGCCAGCCTGGCCCTGTTTGGAAAAGTATTTGACACCTTCACCTAAAAGCTGCTTGGCAACTACTAGAACAATATAGCATTTGAGATAACTGGTAATGAGTCTCTCACACGACTGTGGAGTTTTGTCGCACTCTTCTTTACAGACTTGAGTGAATTCAGTCCCGTTAGCGGGTTTTCCAGCATGAATGACCAGTTTAAGGTCAAAGGTCAAACATTTTCCTCTTGAGTTCGTGGTTCCATCAATTGCAGTGATTGGTTCAGGTCCTGAAGCAGCAAATCAGTCCTAGACCACCATTCCCACCACCATGTCTGTATGATGTTGTTTTTCTGTTTTACACTAAAGTCTCAGGCCTCAGTGTTGATTTTGGGCTTTGGGTCTCTCCCATGGGACCATTTCTTCCCTGTCTCTTTCTTATTGTTGAATCTGACCTTAACCAAGTAAGGACTGCAGGGATTTAGTAGATTTTCTGTCTTCATGGGTGTGATGTGCTGCTTTTGAAACCTTAGCCTGTTGTCAGAGGGGCTCTATTGAAGTGGTTTCTTACATCTGGCTGGTAGAACTATGTTTATGTTTATTTATTTGGCAGACGCTTTTATCCAAAGCGACTTAGAATTTATAACCTATAGGGCATGTTGTGATCTGTGGGGGAAACCGGAGTACCCGGAGGAAACCCACGCATGCATGGGGAGAACACGCAACTCCACGCAGAAAGGCTGCAGCCGAGTTTCGAACCTGCGACCTTCGTGCTGCGAGGCAACAGTGCTAACCACTGCTCCACCATGCAGAACTAAACTCAACTTTTATTTAATCACAGTTAATGATTCCTTCATTCCTTCTTCACGAGTCTCATCTCCTGCTGCTGTGATTGTAGAAACAAAAGTTGAAGTCAAGTGAAAAACTCGCAGCCCTGAGTTAGTTCTCTTTTGTTTGGTGTCATCACTGACATAACTCAGGACTTTTACAGTTATTTACTTTGTTAATTGAACACTTTGAAGTCAGATTTCAACAGGGAAACCCTGAACTGGTCCTGTAGTGGGAGAAGTGGAGAAGGCGTTTAAATTTAAAACCTTAGCTATGAAGTGGAAAACATCGTTTTCTAAAATATTTAACTTTTCTGTTCACCACAGGATGAGGGTCAAGGTTTGTAAAGTTATCGTTGTTTACCAGCAGATGGCAGCATAGTAAAGGATAACAGCTAGACACCCATCCAACAGATGCAGAGAATGAAAAGTGTTATTAATACACTGTTCATTGTTTTTGTTAATATTTTATACTTTTATTTACGCTTGAATCTTCTAAAAGATGAATCTTTTTTTATTAGGTATTCATGCCATTTCCATCACAGCTGACATCAGCAGGTCAGACGATGTCCAGAGGATGGTCGACACCATCGTCTCTAAATGGGGAGCGATCCACATCGCCTGTAACAACGCCGGCATCAACATGAACTCAGCTAGTGAGGAGACCAGCTTAGAGGAGTGGGACCGCACCTTCAACGTCAACCTGAGGGGGACCTTCATGTGCTGTCAGGTGTGTGTGTGTGTGTGTGTGTGTGTGTGTGTGTGTGTGTGTGTGTGTGTGTGTGTGTGTGTGTGTGTGTGTGTGTGTGTGTGTGTGTGTGTGTGAAGAATACAAGGCTTACTCAGAGTTTATGAATTTTTTTTCTTTATCTTTTCCATTTAGGAGAAAAAGACACTTAGCAAAGAATGAACCTGGATCTTTAAAACAACATCTGCCCCATAAAGAGGATGAGATGTTTATTGTTACATTTATTATTACATTACATAACATTACATTATTATTACATTACATTATTATGATAACATTTATTGTTATTAATTTACCAGAAATGTCAGATTGAGACACAACAGAGACAACATTTTAAATCAGACACTCACTCTGGAATATTAAGAGGTTTTCCAGCCAAGTTTTTAAGCCCATAAAAGTGAGTTTTCCTAACGATTAGGGATGTAAACTAAAGCAGTGAATTTAGTAACACCTCTTTCTTAAGTTCAAAAGCAATAAAGATTCACTGAATAAACACTAATTATAAGACAATGTAAATGTTTCCAAATTACACTTTTTATTTATTTATTTTTATTCATTTGGGGTATGCCATAAAATCTGTTTCATACATAATATTATTTATGCTTGTATCCACATTTTTAGTTTCTTAGTTCATGCTTGTAAAACTCAGCATGTGCTTTAACCCTTTGATGCATGAATTATGAAATCTTCAACCATGATTTTTTAAACAATTTTTTTCATTCATCTTTAGGTGTGAATGAAACAAATTTCAACAAATATTTTTTGTAACATTTTGTTAATTTACAAATAATTCATTACATGTCCAGCTCAGTGGACAGCATGCATTCTGAACATGAAATATGTTGGCTTGACTTGCTGAAGCCCAAATGGAGAGGCTCACATGTTATTAAGTCTTCAACAGCTGTGCTTAATAGCAAAAATAAAAAAAGTCTCAATTTTGAGTACCTGTCCACTGTAGTGACCATTATGCATCAAAGGGTTAATACGACCTAGAGTTTAAACTGGGCACTGTTAAATAAATGACCAGAACCTGAAAAAGGTTCAAAATGAATTTTCTTCATGAATTTCACTGAGACATTTGAATACTGATTACAGATGTGTCAAAGAGCACCAAAGAACTTGTGATGGCATCCTATAGTCACTACATTTAGCTCCGACCTGAACCAAACGTGACCCTGAGATAAACTCCATGTTTTTGTGTTGGCCTTTAACAATCAGCTGTTTTGAGTCTCTCCTGTCTGAATCCTGGCCTTAGGCAGCAGGTCGGGTGATGCTACAGCAAGGATATGGAAAGATTATCAACACAGCCTCCATGGCCAGTCTAATAGGTGAGTGATGGTCTCACCCTCTAGAGCTCCTCAAGGTGTAATCTCTCTGTTTGCCGTAAGTTGAATTAGTTTGTTCTGTTGAATTAAACCCATTAGATCAGTTTGATTCAGACGTAACACATTTGTTGTTTATACATGTAGATTTTCGTAGGAATAAATTGAAGTGTGCTATTCTTATTTAAATGTTTACTAGAAGTCATATAAATATGTTAAAATACACATTCATGATAAAATGTAATTATTCAAAGTAAAGCCTCAACTCTAAAAATAAGCAGTTAAATCTAAAAAATGGAACTCTAAATTCTGATTTAACTTTATATATTAACCTCTAAACACTTACTTATAAAGCGAGACTAGGCAGTTTAAGCTTGCTTTTATTTCATCCATCCATCCATCCATTTTCATCCGCTTATTAGTCGGGTCGCGGGGGCAGTAGCCTAAGTCGAGATGCCCAGACTTCCCTCAGCCCCCAGCCACTTGGGCCAGCTACTCCAGGGGAAATCCTAAGGCGTTCCCTGGCCAGGTGAGAGACATAGTCCCTCCAGCGTGTCCTGGGTCTTCCTTGAGGCCTCCTCCTGGTTGAATGTGCCTGGAAAACCTCACCAGGGAGGCATCCAGGAGGCATCCTGACCAGATCCCCAAGCCACCTCAACTGGCTCCTCTCGATGTGGAGGAGCAGCGGGTCTAATTCGAGCCCACGCGAATGACTGAGCTTCTCACTCTATCTCTAAGGGAGAGCCCAGCCACTCTTTGGAGAAAACTCATTTCAGCCGCTTGTATCCGCGATCTCGTTCTTTCGGTCACTACCCAAAGCTCATGACCAAAGGTGAGGGTAGGAACGTAGATCAACCGGTAAAACGAGAGCTTCACCTTCTGACTCAGCTCTCTCTTCACCACGACAGACCGGTACAATGCCCGCATCACTGCAGATGCAGCACTAATCCGCCTGTCGATCTCACGGTCCAGTTTTCCCTCACTCGTGAACAAGACCCCGAGATACTTAAACTCCTCCACTTGGGGCAGGACCTCATCGCTGACCGGGAGAAGGCATTCTACCCTTTTCTAAACCAAGGCCACGGTCTCAGATTTAGAGGAGCTGATTCTCATCCCAGCTGCTTTACACTCGGCTGCAAACCACTCCAGTAAAAGCTGAAGATCACGTTCTGATGAAGCCAACAGGACCACATCATCTGCAAAAAGCAGAGACCTGATCCTCAGGCCACCAAAACGGATCCACTCCACACCTTGGCTGCATCTAGAAATCCTGTCCATGAAGGTTATGAACAGAATCTGTGACAAAGGGCAGCCTTGGCGGAGTCCAACTCTCACTGGGAACGAGCCCGACTTACTGCCAGCAATGCGGACCAAGCTCTGTCACCGGTCATACAGGGACCTAACAGCCCGTATCAGAGGGTCTGGTACCTTATACTGCTTTTATTTATTTAATTTTATTTATTTAACCAGATGAGTGGATTGAAAACTGATTCTCATTTACAACGACGATCTAGCCAAGAGGCAGCAGCAACAGACACACGCCAAAGAACAGCCGACAGCTGAGATAAAAACAAACAAGATAAAATAAAATAAAAACTGTTAGACATAAAGAGCCCCTAATGTCTGTTTAGTAGAACCAAAAGCTAAACCTATCTCCTCACTGTGCGTTCATCTTTTTAACACTGCAATCTAACAGCTGAAATGTCTCCTCAGCCTTCATTAGTGTCTACAGGAGTGATTCATCACTTAATTAAACATATTAAGCTGTGTTCATGATCTAAAACATGCAGGACTCTTGCTGGAAGCAGACTGCAGCACCAGGTATGTCAGCTCAACAGACCAAACCGACACTCAAGATGCAAATGCCATATTCTGACCACAGGGGGTGGTAGAGGTCGTTTTAGCACATACTGGCTAAAGAATAGGATCTAAAAATATGAAAAAGTTGCCTAGCATCCCTTTAACATAATCTTTAAGCCAAATGTGTAATTTTAAAACCTGAATGGTGTGATTGTAATAATGTAACCCTGAATCAGAACGAGGCAGCTTCTCTTCTTCTACCCCGAGTTAAAACTGTTGAACAGAGCTGCATCCAGCCTGGCAGGAAACACAAAGTGTTGTGATTGCATCTCGCTGAGGCACTTTTGCATCATAATAAACATCCCCTCTCTGTGGAGCCGTCTGGAGGATGTGGAAGGCAACCTAAGGTCCAACTTGGGAGGGGAGGGTTCCTGTGCAGCGGCAGAACGCCGCCCAGTGCCAGCGGCCTTGTTTGAACAGCGGAAGACACTCTGAGAGTTTAGTGAGACGCCTGTAAACTCTCTGCTGCTGTGGTGTTCGTCCTCCAACAGGTCCCTCCAGAGGAACGGCAACACTTCATCAGCAGAGCAGTCAAACCGCCAGTAAAGAGCCGTGCCATATGGGCCCCGGTCCCGACTGCAGGGGCAATCTGTAAAACAGGAGCATGCTGGTAAATAGAGGCCGGCATAAAGAAAATGATCAATTACTCACATTACGTTCAGTCCTTCAGGAATTTGCTTTATCGCTCTGGACATCTGTTATAATATTGTCATAATGTGTAATCAGAGGGGACCAGTACTTGCCAAGTGGAGGCCTAAAAAGCAGTCGTAAACGTCCAATTAAAATGCACGGTGACAGCTTTTTGTCCATCTGCTGGAGAAAAGAAAAGTGTGTCCCCTCACACACACACACACACACACCCATACACACTCCTACCATCAACAGACAGAACGTGTGAAACTTTCTGTGCGTTTTTATTTCTAATATTTTGGGATGGTGCGATGATCCTATGGATCGATGCGGGACTCTTAAATCTCACCTGCACATTGCAGCTGCATAATAATGCACCCCTGGAATAGCAGCACCATTTAGGGGGAGGAGTGCATCATTTGAACTCTATCTGCTCAGAAGAATTGCGAATGTAAAGGCTTGCCTGATAAGAGCGTGCTTTCTCCTACTTGAAATGGGCAATAAGTAGCAGGGTGAATGTTAAAGAGGGCTTTGGAGAATGCCTCCTCTTCCCTTCTCTGAGGATTACTGCTCTTTAAGACGGCGAAAACATCAATGCAAGTTTATTTAAAGGATGAAGGCGTTTTCTGAATGGTATTTTGGGGCCGTATCGTCGGGTCTTGAGCGAGGATTAGTGCTGTTAGGCATTTTGAGCTCTGTTTCCTGTCCTGATAAGTCGGATTTCACCTTCAATCTGCATGTAAGCTCTGGGCTCTGCTCCTCCTCGCCTGCTCCTCTGAGGTCCTAGCCTAGCCTTATCCAGCCCAGCCTGCCATCCCTTCACACCCAATCCACCTCTGCTCTCAGATACCATGTCATCATTCCTCCCTTATTTCTTCATCGCTTCTAAACTTTTTTTTTCCTGCATCATGCACATTTTTATCCGAGCAGCGTACGCTGGATGTTCCAGCCGCCTATTCCTCAGGACGAGTTTTCTGCCTCTCTGCAGCTGGCCGGTATTCATCATCCCGGTCTCACACTGAAGCCATTTGGCAGTCAGAGCGGTGGGTGATGAGGCTAACTACTAAAGTTGTATGTAACTTGGAGCCTTCCTTGTGATGATTAATCAACCAGCAGAAAATGAGCCCCTGTCCCGGCCTCCCATGCAGCGTGCAGCATCTGTGATGGTCAAGGCAAACAAATGGCTCCCCGCTTTTGTTGCTGAGGCTGGAGCATAACTGGGCATTATGAGCAATTAATTTTACATGACTTCATCCGTAGAGCCCCCAGCAGCGAATGGAAGACTTTTTAATTTCTTTAGTTCTCACAAGAAACTGCATGTGCTGTAATATATAGCTAACGGGCTTTAGCCATCCTTAACAGTAGAAGTGAATATTGGCACCGTTGTTACTTTACCGTTCGTAAGTGTGTCATAATGTTCACTCTTTTTCACCAGCATCAGCTTTGAAGAAAACATGCAAGTCAGGCGTCACAATGTGCGATTCGCTCAGGAGAGATGAGCTACGGGTTTGGCTCGTGGCATGTCGTTGTGATCTAAAGAAAGTTTAACTTGCTGTCAGTGAAGAACTGTACTTTCTAAATGTTGAAACACCACTAGTTTATTTTTACTACATCTACAAATAATGCATCCAAACGTGGGTGTTTTAGTCTTGTTCCACCCGCTGTGCCTCTCTCTGCTTTTGGACCGACGGTTTTCTCTCAAATCCTCTCAGAATGTAACGAGTGGGCGCCCGTGCTTCAGTTTTACGTCAACATATGAGTTGAGTTTCCTATAAAATACTAGAGCCCTGCGATGGACTGGCTCTCTGTCCAGGGTGTACCCCGCCTACTTGCCCGTTGACCGCTGGAGATAGGCACCAGCTCCCCCCCCCCACCCCCCCCCCCACCCCCGGCGACCCTACGTGGACAAAGTGGGTCCAGAAGATGGATGGATGATGAAATACTAGAAACACCAGACCCAGGAGATCACCAGCACCTTCTGCTGCTAGTTTAATAACCTTTTTCAATACATCTTTTGGTTTTCACACAGCAGCGGTTCAGTCTGTTAGGAGTCAGTGACTCGAAACAATCTACTGGGTTTCCTTAGATAAGATCTTTAACTGGAATGTTTGCTTTGTAGAAGGCCTTGAGACGACTTGTGTCATGGATTAGGTGTTTTATATACATAAACCAAACAGAATTAAATTGAATTGAATTAGTTGGTATTTTACATATGCCATAAACTAAAGTCTGAATATTACAAACACTTTTCTTTCTAAACAGACCCCATTTATTGTAGAAAGTGTCCTAAATTCCCTCCTACGACAGAAATTTAGAATGTGTGTACGAACAGTCAAAAGACTGATTCACGAAACGTGCGGTGGGCTCTCGTACGCACGTTCCTTCGTAGTCGTCTGACGATAAATCCCCCCTGTGCATACGCAGGTGCTCGTGTCCGTTCACCGTCGTTTACATACAGAAATGCACTCAATTAACCATATTTGGTTACTCTATGTTCTTGGTCCTTTTTTCCAGAAAAAATATGAAAAACTTTATTGACAGCCAGATGGAAACACTGGCTGCCGAAGCGCATAAGAAAGTTGCAGAGGTTATAAACGCGGTCTGTTTGGAGTTAGCTTACTTTGGAAATGCTGTCTAAGTGCAGCCTCAGCCTCTTCTGAGCTGTCATTCAGTCTGGTTGCCTTGGCAACGCGGTCTGTACGATCGGGGAGCAGAGGAGGTTCTGGGGGGTTCTCGTAGTTTTAAAGTAAAATATGAACTGGAATCAGATTCGTGAGGTTTGTCTGTCGCGCCACAAAGGGTCCTAAATCCTAGCATAGCAGAAGGATTTCCTTTGAGATCAGCGCACTCACAGAGAACGCGTTCCGTCCAGAGTGCATCCTCAAATAACACAGATTAGTCGTCAGATTCCCGTCGGTCACAGGTGTCTTTTGTTGGTTTTAGCACCAATTATGCAAAAAAGCTGTTTTTCCACAGACATGATTACATACTGGATAGGTATAATTTGTGAAAGAGGAACACGCATGGCTGACTGAGACCGTCAGTGCTGCCGTTCCCCCATTCTACCACTAGATGCTGTTCCTACGCATGGTCAGAGCTGTTCTTATAGGAACTTTTTCATGCGCAAGTACAAAACGGTAAATATCACACAACACGTAAAATCGTTGCCACGCATGAAATACGCAGGTTTGTTCGTAAGTACCGTTGATAAATGAGGGCCCTGTGTCAGACCTGCTGATGGTCCAGTGTGGTAAAAGGGTCAGTCACCACTGAACTTACACTCCTATTTCTACCATCACCCCAAAATTAAACAATACTTTTTTTCCCGTTTTTGTTGATCAGAATAAATCTGTTAGTCATTGAAAATGCAAATCACAAAACAAAGAGCTAAAAAAATGAATTTGGAGATAAAGAAGTACTAAAATCAGATGGAATGAGCTTCCTTATTGATTGTAATCTGCCCCGACTCTAGTAACTTTTAAATCAAAATTGAAAACGTTCATGTTTTCATCAGCCTTTGAATGAATGTTGCTTATTCTGCACCTTCTGCACTGTTACTGCTCACCCTTTAACTTTGTCTTTTATCTGAGTCTTAAATGTAAAATTAAGGTGCGTATTTCATCTGGTCTAAATTTAATCGTGTATTTTAATTGTGC